AAAAAGCGAATTCTAGATCTCAAGATGACGTACGATAAAGAGAACCTAAGCTATAGTAACATATCTGAAACTCCCGAAGAAGCAGAGTTGAATAAATTCTCCCATCGTCCTCTTCAGAATCGGTCTTAAGTCGAATATGTTTGGTTGAAAGGTACTATCCCTTCCCCGGGGCACGACATAGTGTATACACTATCGCGAGGCAACCAATACAGAAAGAGTAAACTAGGACCAATCGAGAAGAATTGGATGGAGGGAAAAGAAACTCAAACTGTAGTGCTGCGTGGAGAACCACAGAATGTGAAAGTGACCTTTTGTAGTTACCCCAAACGATTGGAGGAAGTGTTGAAATGGAAGGAAGGACTGCTGAGAGCGTGTCGTCAAGCGGGAATTAAGTTGGAAGAAGAGCAACTCGAGGTGCTCAAGGAGATGATCCCAGACGAGTTTAAACCCGAAATAGGAGACGATATGACATTGCAGCAAGCGTTCGATGCTATCATCCGAAAGCAAGTGAAAGAAGACAGAAACAGGTCACGAAACCCCCCTTACCAAAGTCTATACTGCTTAATTAGTGACTACGAGCGCGCGGTTGAAACGTATGAGGTGTACGAACACATCGAAAGAGAGATAACCGAACCAATACGAGAGTATTTGAAGTGCAAGCAATTCTTCAGTGGACTGGGACAGACAACGCGAGCGAGACTGAACAGCCAGGATATCGCAACAATGGCAGAAGCGATTAAGTACATACAGAAGAAAGAGCTCATAGCGCTGACGGACTTGGAAACCAGCAGGGAGACGTACGAAGATCAAGAACTGTCGAGCGATCGAGCAGAAACTCGAAACGGCAGGGTCCATAAATCGCAGGTAAGTAAGACTGAAGAGCAGACTAATGCAAGCCAATCGCAGGCAAGGAAGTATTGTGTGTACCACGGGAATAATACGCACTCCACAGAGGACTGCCGAAAGGTGAAAGCGCTTGGCGAAGAGAAACGAGGTAAGCGTCTTGGAAGTAATGACCGAGCCAATGGTGCGACAAAGAGACCTGCTACGGAAGCAACCCAGGACAAGGACAGTGTGTAGTCAAGCAAGAAAGCACGACAGACGTGATGAATCCGATGCTCGACGGAAATTTCGAAGGAGGCGCAACAACTTTCAGATGGATACGAGAGTGAGTGTGAATGCGGTGTAAAGGCCATGATATGATATGAGATGTCAAGAACAGAATCTTCTGGTCGAAAAGAGTAGTAGATACGGACCATAAGAACCTGCTGTCTGAGAGTGTACTGACCAAAGTCGTGCATAACGATGGAGGATCCAAATCCAGGAGTATGACCTGTCTTTTAAGCTCAGCAAAGGAAAGGGCACCTGATGGCGGACTTCGTATCAAGAAAGGAGGCAGTAGGACCCGAATAGGCGGGAGCGCGAATCGATCGTGTGAGTAATTCGAAACCTAAAGTCTCCGAAGCGTGCCTAGGGACGATGGATTGCTTGAAGCCTCCTATGCATGATCGGGAACCAAGTAGTTTAAGTCAGCCTAGTGTCCGGGTCGAGGGATGGAATCGAAGAGCGAACAATGGTTAAGGCGTGGTAGAACAAATAGTCGTGAAGCCGAAAAAGGTAAGGAGCTAGTCCAACAGAGTCACGATGATCTAGGCCACCCAAGACAATGGAAATGAAGAGGTATAATCGCAGGTGTTAGTAGCGCAGGACTGAAAGGTTGGCTAACCAGGTCGTGTAGGGATGTGAGGGAGGTAACTCACGGAAAAGGCATCGTCTAAGAGCTAAGTAGATAAGGCGCTGGCGGTATGAGTAAAGGGGCACAGAGTTCCTAAGGCAATCCTGCATGATAGAGGAAGGCAATATGTAGCCGAAGAAACGGAGCGGTTCCTGAAGTTGGGAAGTGTGAGAGCGATATTAAACAGTCCATACAATCCTATCGGAGACTTGATTTCAGAGAGACTAACCCAGGAAAGCACAGGTGCGTGTGTTTAGCCATTTCAAGAGTACGCGGACCCAGAAATGTCTCCAAAGCGCGGAAGAGCAGATGCAACAGACAGTGCGCAAGGCAATTAGTTGCACCTCGTTTGAGCTAAGAGGAGCGTATCATCCTTTGGATACTTCGCGGACAAGATCAACGCGGAAGAGAAGTCTAGAAGGATTAGGGAGAGGTTCGAAAAGCAGACCACAAGTTGAAGGTGAGCGAACGGGAGCCAAAACAACCGAGGGAAGGTGCGTTGGTCTACTGTAAGACACATGCAACAGGAAAGCTAGAACTGAAATGGAAAGGGCCGTATGAGAGACGAAAGTGGAATGAGGATAGAGACTGTAGCCAAGGTACGAACTCCAATAGGAAGGACCCAGCGAAACGGGAAGCAAATCCGTAGGCCGTAAGAGGTATGAGATACATGAGTTTTAAGGTTTATTGATTTCCTGTTTTTCTCGAAGGAGGGACTATCTTTAGGAAGGGGAGAATGTGGTGTCCTCGCCGGCCTCCACTTCAAAGTAAGTTATCTACAGGGGCAAAGTTCTGGAATACTTATCGGCTTGGCACTGATCGCAGCGAACGCGATTAAATCTTGAATTAGAAATCACAATCTCA